TGCTACTAGTGTTTTAACTAAACATATATGTTAAAAAAAAAAAAAAAAACATTTTCCTGTGCAGAATAGGCATTTTAATTTAATGAAAAAATGCTCTTTTTCTCTTGCAGAAAGTACTACTATCATTTCCCATTGTTTACACCGTTATCACAGAGTAATTAAATATAGAGATATGAAGAATGAACATGCTGCTTATGCATGGAAATTTCATTTAGCAAGGTATTCTTAATACTCTGAAACAGTTTTATGAAAACCTGTAGGGGTTTGTCTCTTCTTGTTTTTCTTTGGTTTGTTTTGTATAGTTAGTTGTTTCTTTTTGTCTTGATTCAATATGGGTTTTAAAGTAATAGTAATTTTATTTTTTTTTTCAGGTAAACCTCTATGGATCTGAGATACAACTTTCATACAGTGACAGCAATTTTTATTCTGGATTACTCGATATGAAAAATCAAATGTGGTAATGGCTCCATTCCCTATTGCAATTTGTGCTTCCATGTAGAAAATGTCAAACAAATGGGAAATAAATGAATAAAAACTATTTCTTATCAGATTAAAATACATGGTAAACTAATGTGTCAGGAATATTATGAAATATAGACACAGTTTGATCAAAACTTGAGTGGGGGGAGATATTGACAGGTATTCTAAAGGACATCTGCACTACCATTGAAGCTGAAAATGCAAATTACAATAGAGCTCTTGCAAAACCTTAATAGTGCTGGAACCATGTACAACGGGACTGGTGGGTTCAATTTTAGGTATTCTCAGAAAGAACTATATGCCTAATTTCAAAGAGCACTTCACTAAGGATTTCAAGGAGATGGTAAATGGACTTTGACAACAGAAAAAATAATTGGGAAGCTTAGTCAGCTGAAGAAAAACTGGAAGGATATGTAATAAAAGATTTCATATGTTTAGGATATATAACTATTGTGTATATCCCATATATAAAGCAGAATCAAAATTAAAATATTATTCTCACAGCCTACTGTAGATATGTGATGAATTGGCTAAAAATACATAAAGAAATGAAGTCTTGGAGTCTGAAGTGTTGACCCCTGAAAGAACTTTCCTGAAAAAGTCATGAAGCCTCTGTCATCATGTTTTTTTCTGTTTTGTTTTGTTTTTCATAAAAGAGTGTACAATTACATATCAATGATGATGCAGATGTAGTTATTGCTGATCTTATTTTGAATGAGGCAGGGGACCTTTTAAATTTTCTTCCAGCCTGTGTTCTACAACTTCATGAACTCTTTAATAAAAGCTTAAATAAACTATTAATGTTGGTTTTCTGCCATATTTCTATCTTTATTGACTTTGAGCCACATATTGTAGCCACTGCTTTTTCTTCAAATATAGTATTCTTATTTGTTTTGTTAACTTACCTTCCAAAATCCAACTCAACATACCACTTGAAAACTCTTATTTTAAGCCTATGATAGAAGACACGATTTTTTTTAATATATAAATATATATATATATTAGTCCCCCTATTAGTGTACTAACCTCTGTGTTTACCTCTAATGTCTTTATGATGTTTATTTATCAAGGTTTATTGCCTTTTCCTGTAAAGACTTTTTTTCTGTGTCCTAGAGATAAAACAAATATCAAAAATAGCATAAAATATCTAAGAATCAAGCAAAAAGGTAATTTAACAGAATTTCATTATTGCTTTACATAGACTTTCTTTGGCTTATGATAGGTTTTGATATGGTTTTTCTTTTATTGGGTAGGGTGAGGGAATTTGCAAGATTCATAAATTCATGGAATAGCTTGGGTTGGAAGGGATCTTTAAAGGTCATTTAGTTTAAGCCCTCTTGCAATGGCCAGGGACATCTTCAACTCAATCAAATTGCTGAGTCCTGTTCAATCTGGTCTTAAAAATGGTTAGAGGGATGTGGCATCTACAGCCTCTCTGGGCAACATGTTGCAATGTTTCACTCCTCTTAGTGTAGAAAATTTCTTCCTTAGACCTAGTTTGAATATATTCGTTTTTAAAACCACTACCCCTTGCATTATATGACATACCCTACTAAAATATTTGTCTCCATCTTTCTAAAAGAGCCCACTTTAAGTAATGGAAGGTAGCAATACGTTCTCTCTGAAGCCTCTCCTCCAGGTTGAACAATCACAGTTCTCTCATCCTGTCTTCAGAGGAGAGGTGCTCCAGCTCTCTGATCATCTTTGTGGCCCTCCTCTGGACATGGTCCAAACCATCCATGTCCTTCTTATGTTGAGGGCCCTGAGCTGGATGAACTCCAAGTGGGTTCTTTTGACAGCAAAGTAGAGAGGCAGAATCACCTCCCTCGACCCACTGGTCACCCTGCTTTTGATGCAGCTCAGTGTATGGTTTAGGTCTCACCAGAGCAGATTCCCAGAATGAAGGAATATAATGGGGAGATGTGTATGATATCATATATATGCTGACATTTCACATTAATTCATTCCTATAATCCTGTTTTAGCTCACCATTTCAATGGGATGAGGTTCAACAAGGCCAACTTCAGGTCCTGCACTTTGGCCACAACAACCCCCTGCAGCACTACAGGCTGGGGACAGAATGGCTGGAGAGCAACCAGACAGAGAGGGACCTGGGAGTTTGGATTGACAGGAAGCTGAACAGGAGCCAGCAGTGTGCCCAGGTGGCCAAGAAGGCCAATGGCATCCTGACCTGTATCAGGAACAGTGTGTAGCAGGACCAGGGAAGTGATTCTTCCCCTGTACTCAGTGCTGGTGAGGCCACACCTGGAGTAGTGTCCAGTTCTGGGTCCCTCAGTTCAGGAAGGACACTGAGGTGCTGGAGCAGGTCCAGAGAAGAGCAACAAGGCTGGCAAAGGGACTGGAGCAGAAGTCCTATGAGGAGAGGCTGAGGGAGCTGGGGTTGTTCAACCTGGAGAAGAAGAGTCTCAGGGGAGACCTCATCACTCTCTACAAGTCCCTGAAAGGAGGTTGTAGCCAGGTGGGAGTTGGTCCCTTCTCCCAGCCAGCTATCAGTAAGACAAGAGGGCATGGTCTTAAGCTGTGCCAGGGGAGGTTTAGGTTGGATATTCGGAAGAAATTCTTTACAGAGAGAATAATCAGGCATTGGAATGAGCTGCCCAGGGAAGTGGTGGATTCTCCATCCCTGGAGGTTTTTAAGATGAGACTGGATGTGGTACTTAATGCCATGGTCTAGTAACCATAGTGGTAGTGAATCGAAGGTTGGACTTGATGATCTCGGAGGTCCTTTCCAACCCAGCTGATTATATGATTCTTTGATGACAGTTTCAGGGCCATCTCTCTCATGGAAAAGAGAATGTTGTCTGTTTTCAAGTTTTTTTCTCGGCCTGCATAACGCATGCAGTTTAACTAGGGCAGGAATGCTTGTCACATGTGCATGCCTGATGTGTTAATTTCATCATCATGTTAGGTAACCAAATGGGGAAAGTGTAGTTCAGTATTCTGGGTTTTCACTTGTTATTAAGTCTTTGTCCTATAAGAGTTTTGGCTTCCACCACTGCAGTCAGTAGGAAGGATGTCACTAAACAGAAATAAACTGATTCTGGTAGGTCTTTAGGATCTCATTCAAAAGGCATTAAGATAAAAATATTTAATAAATATATATTTTAATGATTTTACCTAAGGTTCTTGTATTTATTAAACTACTGTGTAGCTTTTGCTAATGCTCTGTGAGTTTGCTTTAAGAATATCATTGTCTTTAATTGATTAATATCATATCCAGTAGAAAAAGGCAGTCTACATAATTCTAGACTTGATTTCTAAAGTAGAAAAATACCTAGTAAATCTTGGCACTGATGATAAGTCAATTGGCTAAAGTGTATTTGTTTACCATTGATTTCCCCTGCTAAAGCTCTAGGACTGCATGAATGAAACAGAATTTGTGACAACTGAAGGTTCTAAGAAAATTTAGTTGCTTCAGGACACACATGATTTTAAAGAAAATAAGTGCTAATAAAATGATTTTATTTGTTTTAATACAGCTCAAAAATAAATATTCAACAATCTAGAGAAAAAAAATTGTCTTCAGTATAAACAAATCTCTTGTAAATTTTGAATACACTGGTATATATCTGGGAAGATGTTGAACTGATTTTTTTATTAAGAGATGATATAATGGTTTTACTTTTTGAGATTATACTCATATCATATGGCAGAGTATACTGTAGTACAGTTTGGGTAGGGAAAAAAGTAAACAGATAATAATATGCCATAAGACTTTTTGAATGATTATAAGAGAATATTATGTTCGGCAAAGGAACCAAACCCTAAACATATTTCATTAAATAATTCTGATTTAATGATTGTATAGTCAATTGAAAGAAACACCATATTTATTACATTTTCCTCTTATTTGTAGATTTTACATGCTTTTTGCTAGAAATTTATCACAGTGGTATCATTCTGTGTATGTCTGATTAATTTTATCTCCAGTTGCATTTTCCATCAATGCACTATGCAATTTTCTCATCATTAAAGCCTAGGTTTGGGATATCACAATTTGGGTAACAAAACCCCAAACAAAGCAGCCGCATAATTTTGCCTGTATTGCACTTTGTGCCTAATGTCATCTATATGAGAAATAAAAGCATATATGCTTTTACCTGCTACTTCAAGATACAACAAGAGGTTGTTCTATAGTACAGAGAGAAACATTCATTCCATCTAAAATAGCATGTATTGATGTGTTATTTACCAGGGAAAATCTATCATCAAAATAGTTTCAGGACAGAAGTTAAAGAAACAATGTAGTGGTATGACATAGGAAGTTGTTGGGGTTTTTTAAGTCTTTGGCTAATCAATCATTTCCATACAAACAATTTATCAGATGCATTTTATAATCTTTACCTTTGGGAATTTACAACAGACATGGCTTTTACTTTTTGGGGTTTGTGTCCACATAATTATTTTCTGCATTAAATATGGATTTTTTAATGGGAATAAAAATCTTCTAAGTAGCTCTATGTCTTTATTATTTCCTTTTGACAGAACCCTGTATAAATTCTTACTAATTTTATGTGTAAATATCAAAGCATCTTCATATTTTATTTAAAATAGAAAAAAGTTTAAAATACATCTATTTTTTTCTGTGACATAAGTGATTTCTAGTTAACAGAAACTTCTTTTTTCAATTTTTTTGCAACATAAGTATTGATAGACTTATAAAGTCTAGGGGGAATCACAGAATAACAGTCCTACTGGAGGCAAGGCCTTCCAAAAGAATGCATGAGGTCCTATAGCCCATCATTCATAGTGTGGTCAAATGTGTCAACCAGAAACTCCACCACAGAAGCTGGAATATAGTTATTTTCTGTATTAGAAAATTTAAAAAACAATAAAATAAAAATTAGGAGCTTTACGCTTCTCTGTCTGCATTTTTCAATAAATTGCACATTTATACAGTTGGAACAGTTTGGTGTCTCTGTGCATACAACCTGTATGATGTGTGCTCCATAGCCCAAAAAGGGCAATCTGGGCAAGTCAACAACAGAAACAATAAAGTCATGGTCTCAGTGAGGCAGTGAAATTCCCTCATAGCTTTCCATTACTTCTTTATACATAGTGTCAAATCACTGTTCCTGAGAGGAGGCAGTAGTAGTCTAGTATGAGATTTTAAATACTTTAGTAATGAGACTTTATTTCTACAAAAAAACCCAAAAAAACCCAACAAAAAAACCTGACACATCATCTTTTTATTCTCTCACTCACCAATAGCAAAATAATCTAAAAAGGAAACTGCAATTAAAATGTGGTAACTTTAATAGTGTATGGTGTCTGGATGAGGATAGAGTTTGATATCAAAGGAGCTCACTCACCACAAGACACAGGAAACACATTATAACTTTAGCAAACATGGAAATTCCTTTCATCCAGAAGATCAAGACTATGCAGGATGATGGCTATCCAGACCACCACCAGCTCTAAGATGGAAGTGCACAAGACACAAAGCGTGAAGTACTGGGGTGATAAGTACTGTTTTGAGAGGACATCAATTGAGGCAATTTCTGCCTCTGAAAGAGTCTTGAACCTTGGAGGCTTATGTTGCTAAGTAGAGGTAGCATCTGCCTGAAAGCACCATGAGGTGGGATAGATGTAGACTCCAATACTGAATTCCTTTGTGCCTCTCATTTATTTGTCACTCCTCTAAATATGTAAGACTCACCCACTGTACATATGAGTTTGTTATTACCTGGGATTATCAATATATATATCCAACAGACCCATTAATTTCTCTTTTGCACAGAACTGTGTATATTGCTGTTCTGTTGAGGTTTCCAGCCTGCAGGTTTATCTTAAAACCAGATGGTACTAATGGTATAATGAGCTGGAGGAAAAGAAGGTTAGCATTAAAATCTTTCAGGAGAAGACAAATTAACATCAATTTTCTCTTATGCGAGGAGACAACTTTATGTACATCAGGACAGACACCTTAATCATTTTGTTTTGGATGATTTGAGTGAGAAAGTTAAGTTTCCTTAACTGACTGAAGGAGTCACATTAGTTCTCTATGTTACTTTTCATAAACTAAAGTAAAAAATGTACAATAAGATGGCACATTACAAGGGATGGGAATAGGATGAGTTAGCAACATAAGTGACAGGGTAAGTCATAACTGCTAGTGCCCTATGTATGTGGTGAGTTTCTGAAACATGATTTTATTCAAATGTCTGTTTCAGAAAGACAACAACACATGCCTAAAGCAATATGCATTATATTAGACTTCCCTTTTAAAAATGGATTCTTAAAGTTTATTTCTTACTTGACTCACTCTGCCATTACCAAAAGCATTTTGGCAAATAAATTAAGAATGGTTTGCAAATTTTGTATGCATGTATGCACAAGGTAATGAAAAATGTCAAGGAAGGTACTTCATTGTTTTTTACATAAGCTTTTCTACATTTAAGAACTTTTATTGGTATAATGATAGCATAGAACTATCTTTCCCATGAAGTCTGAGAATATAATGGCAAAAGACTTATTTCATTGATGTAGTTTAAATCAATTTTCAGAATGTCAATTTAAAAAAATTGTTAATTTTTTTTTCTCCTGTTTTTATTTTGTTTTGTTTTGTTGGTTTTTTTGTTTGTTTGTTTGGCTGGTTGGTTTTTTTGTGGATGTGATTATATTTACAGAATAGAATTTTATTCACTGTATAGGTTTATTCAGGATCAGTCTCTGGTTTTATCATAATTCATAATCAGAGTAATGTAAGAGTAGATGTCATCAGGGAAGAAAGCTGCAAAATCCTGTTCAACTCATCTATATTCGGTTAGATACCTCCACCTGCAGTCTCATCTCATGTAAATACTAACCCAATTATACCTTTGACTAGATTAAAACTGACTTAGGAGCTCAAAAAGTGGTACTAAGTAGATTTGACTATCGCCTGATTTCTAAAGTGTACCAGAGAAAATTAGATAGTCCTTTCCATTTTTCACTTTAACACAATGCATAAATAAATTCTACAAAAGGAATACTAATTTCCTGCCATCCAACTTAAGCAGAAAGTTAGTTAGGGGTCCTTTGATGTTGGTACATAAAAATGTACTCAAATTGGCGTGCTGGAAAAAAAAATCTATCGTCTTAAATAAATTAGGCTGACTCTTTGCCTGTACCTTGAAATTACTCTTGATTTTTTATCTAATTGCACAGAGTAGGATTTTCCAAAGCTTGCAAGGAAAACTAACATTTCCAGCAAGATGGATTAGAGATGAATTGTCAAAATAGCAAAAGATGTTGATAAATTTCCAAGTTCTAAAAAGTAGTATTGGACCACTTTGAGGTGAATAATGGAACAGTGATTAACACAGATTGTTAAGTTATACATATGGTAATTATTTAAAACACTGTAGTTCATTTTAGGGGAGTTTATCTGTTGAAAAAATGGCATCTGAGAATCGAAACCCTCATATTTAAGGTAAATACAGGTGAAATTATTTGTGCCTGTTTTTTAGTTCATTTACTCCCTGTATCTTACTTGGAGTTTGGTGCTTGTTGCTTGTGATGAAGTTCTAAAAATAACCCATGGTTCAAGAGAGGAAGAAAGAAAAGAACAATGTGTTGGAGGAAAAGTCAGAGAAGAACAAAAGCATAGTCTCACGAGGGTTACCACAAATTGTGGGAAAAGGTCTTGAACAATTATACATACATTAGGGGACAAAAAAAAAGCCAACTGCAAAACCACAATCCAAACAATCAAACAAAAAAACCTCAAAAAAACCAAAACCTTTTTTTAAAAATATGAGTGGTTTGCAAAGTGTAAGTTAAATGTGCCCAAATTAGCTGAGGTCTAGTTCATTCTGTTTTGGAAATTTTCTAGATTTTCCTAATTTTTTAAAAGCTATTCCCAAAGGTATTTTACAACCTTAGTATACATGAACAGTAATTAGGAAAAATAAAGCACCAGCCAAATTCAGGCTCTTCTATCCTTCTCTCAGTAGGGACTACGAGTAAGCATAAAGCAACATGATTAAGAATTCATTTGTTTTATGGTTCAATGGGAGCTGAAATGATTAAGCTCCTTTATCATGTTTCTTTTCCTATGTATATTTTAAAAACACTTCTGCTAAGGAATACCATCAACAAAACATAAGGGAAGCAAGCTCCTCTTCAAAGTGCAAATATTTACTTACCTACTGTATACATATGTTTCCATTTGATAAATACTCCTTAAACCAAGAGAAATCGCAGGCTGCAGAAATGTCTCTGTGCGGCACAGAAGAGAAAGACTGCAAAGGCAGTTTTCAAGTCCTTATCTGCAAAGGGAAAGAGATGATTGCCTTAACCTTTGTTATCAGCATGAGACCTACTTTAATGCTCATAAGGCTCAAAAGGACTTATGAAGTGGTGAAAGGCTGAGCTAGATGGGCTGTGTCTCACTGCGAGCATCTGGCTCTTCAACAGCGGAGTCAGTGCTGGGGCAGTAGCACCCAGTGGCACACTGCTGCTCACAGTGCAGTCTCAAAGCATGTTTCCTTGTCTATGGCAATTCCCATTCAGAAGGCATGGCTAACACTGACATGTAAAACTCACAAACAAAGTCATCAGCCACTGGTCTCTTCTTTCACATCCAGACGTTGTATTAAAAAGAAGGGAAATCTAGGTTTCCCTGTCCTGACTCCCAAAGGCAGGCTGTGATGACTGTTTGCCCACCTAAACAGGTTCATCAAGAATCAATCAGGCTCTGCAGAATGAAGTGGACTACTTTGGTTTGGATTGATATATATTATTTTATTTTATTCTCAATAAATCACTACACAATAGCATAGCACAATAAAAATTAAACAGAAACTCCCCAATTTTCCACCTCAGTTTGTGAAGAATTTGTAATTTCTTTTCTGTCATTGTATCCACACATAAAAGATTTCACTCAGAATTTCTTTATGTACTCTTAAATCTAAAAGGTTTTAATATACACTAGCAAATTGACTTACTGTTATGCAGATTTTTACTTTTGTGACTTTTTTGGTACATCTATATTTTTGGGAAATACAGAATTTCTGTAATATATTTAGGTTGCAGCCTTGCAATATTGCACATGTAAAGTTAACACATATTAACAAGGTTG